AGATAAATCTCTTAACGGTTTATTCTGATTCGTCTCCATATTTTCACTGGTTCAGATAAATCTCTCAACAGTTTATTCTGATTCATCTGTAGATTATTTCACTGGTTCAGATAAATATCTCAACGGTTTATTCTGATTCGTCTCCAGATTTGTTTCACTGGTTCAGATAAATCTCTCAATGGTTTATTCTGATTCGTCTCCAGATGATTTTTACTGGTTCAGATAAATCTCTCAACGGTTTATTCTGATTCGCCTCCAGATTATTTCACTGGTTCAGATAAATCTCTCAAGGATTTATTCTGATTCGTCTCCAGATGATTTTTACTGGTTCAGATAAATATCTCAACGGTTTATTCTGATTCGTCTCCAGATTATTTCACTGGTTCAGATAAATCTCTCAACGGTTTATTCTGATTCGTCTCCAGATGATTTTTACTGGTTCAGATAAATCTCTCAACGATTTATTCTGATTGGTCTCCAGATTATTTCACTGGTTCAGATAAATCTCTCAACGGTTTATTCTGATTCGTCTCCAGATGATTTTTACTGGTTCAGATAAATCTCTCAATGGTTTATTCTGATTCGTCTCCAGATTTTCACTGGTTCAGATAAATCTCTCAACTATTTATTCTGATTCGTCTCCAGATTTTCACTGGTTCGGATAAATCTCTCAATGGTTTATTCTGATTCGTCTCCAGATTTTTTCACTGGTTCAGATAAATCTCTCAACGGTTTATTCTGATTCGTCTCTAGATTCTTACTGGTTCAGATAAATCTCTCAACGGTTTATTCTGATTCGTCTCCAGATTTTTTCACCGGTTCAGATAAATCTCTCAACGGTTTATTCTGATTCGTCTCCAGATTTTCACTGGTTTGGATAAATCTCTCAACGGTTTATTCTGATTCGTCTCCAGATTTTTTCACTGGTTCAAATAATTCTCTCAACGGTTTATTCTGATTCGTCTCCAGATTCTTACTGGTTCAGATAAATCTCTCAACAGTTTATTCTGATTCGTCTCCAGATTTTTTCACTGGTTCAAATAAATCTCTCAACGGTTGATTCTGATTCATTCTCTATTAAGATCAAGTTCAAACTTTCTGTCATAACTCACCTTCAGATGGCATCTATAAGTCCATCTCCGACAATTCTCTTTTTTTTCTCCAAATGGCATCTTTAAGCCCATTTCCGTACACAATCAACCAACATGTCATCAAGTGCAAATTTCTGGGCACTCTAGTGTTCAATCACCTTCTACTTTCAAGCCACGAACAACAAACATGTCAATCTCGCTTTTCAAGTTTAAGAAGATTGAACAGGGGCAGCTGTTGTACCCCAAAATTTTCCCTCCCATTTATCATACAAGATACAATCCTAGGGTTTCTCGGATATTCAAGTTGGCTCAAAAATCGATCAGACAGATTCTCTTCTGAGGCAGTAAAATCAGCAATTAGGGTTTTGCATTTCTCAAAAGAAAATGAGTTTTCAAAGTTTCAAACAGTCTTTATGGTCCTTCATGTGTTATCAAAAATGTTTGTGCCAAGTTTCAAATCTCGCATCGTGAGTTTGCTCAGTCAGTGGTTCAGACGACTGAAAATGACTCCATTAACCCAAAAGATGACCTTTTGCGACATCAAGTTCAAGTGACTGTAACTTCTTCATTATTCAATATTTTTGGATGTTTCTTTTGCGTATGAATCTCCTTGACGTCATCTCTAATTTCTCTTCACAAGTCAAGATTTGATTATGTGTGAAAGATCATCAGGAAATTCGAATGCTTTAAAGGTCATTTTGCAAATTTGACCTAATTACAAGAAACTTTTGTCCAATTTTCGAGGCTCACAACTTCTTCAATTTTCACTATTATGAAGTGATTCTTTTTGAAAAGTATCACAAATAGCATTGTCTATGAGATTACTTCAACGATCAAAGTCAAAGTGCGCTTGGAAGACCATGAAATTTATTAAAATTTTACAAGACATTCATTAATACTTTCAAGTCCATTTGTTTCTCATGCATTCATTTCAAATTCAATGTGCTAAATCTATGGATTCAAAGTCAATTTCAAATGATTCAAGTTTGCAAGACATAATCAATTTGTTCATAAACTTCATTCAAAGTCTCATTACCCATTCAAGTTCAAAAGTTTCTACATGTGAATCAAGTTTACATCGATTCTACATATTACAAGACAAGGTTTATTCCAAGTCTCCATTCTCAATTTCAAGTCCAAATCTTATTCCAAATTTAACTTTTCAAGGCTATATTCAAAAAATCAACTCATCATTCTTCAAAGGAATTTGCAAAGCTTATGTTGATCACTCTTGAAGACTTTGAACAAGAAAAAGACTTCATTCAAATTTCATAAGAAGCTTACAAGACTACAGAGTGACTTTTGAATACTTAAGTCCTCACCATTATCATTCAATTTCCTTTTGGTATAAGGCTTACGTTCAATCTATCATCCAAAGTGTTGTTCAAGATCAAAGAATGTTCAATTGCTAAAGTTTTTTACAAGCTTGCAATTACAAAAAAATATGTTACAAATTCTTAACAATGCACTAAAACTACAAAAGAGTTTTCTTCATCATCAAGCTTTCTTCAAGTGCTTCAAGTCACTCTTCGGAAATTCTCCCTATCATCCAATAGGCCAGTACATGTAAACAAAAGAAAGAGAATTAGTTAGCAAAATTCATGTTGGAAAAAGATTGGAAAATTTCAAAGAAATCTCTATATTTTCATCATTAGGGATTGGTAAAAAGAATCAGAAATAAGAGGACAACGTTTCATCCGTGTTTGGTCCATTGAAAATCACAATTTTCAATTGGTTCACATAGGACAAAATAAGGAGAAATGCAAGTCAAAATCAATAATTTTATCATGGTTTCAAATGCTGCAAAATAGTTTACATCACAAAAAGCACAATCACAAAAAGCCAAAATGCTGTCAAAAATGGAGTGCATTGCAGCCCTCCATATGCTGTCCATAAAAGGCCAAAATCTGTCCAAGTAGCTGCAAACATACAACCCAAAATTGCACAAATATAGGCTAAGTCAAAACTGCAACAAAAAGAAGCAAAAGCAGCATAACACAAATGTTCAAACCCATTTGCTTTTCCCCCCCAAAAGTTTTGTTTTTTCAGATAACAAGGCCATTTCGGGACAGCAAGGAGGAGGAAAGAAAAAACAATATTCATTTATTCAAAAAACTAGCAGCAAGAACAGTTTAACAAGGCATACCAAAACCCCAAAGATATCATCATCATTTTCTCAAATACCACCTGTAGCGGTGAAAATCGGAGATCAAGCTATTAATTAACTTGACTCACAAAAGCAAGAGTCGCCACCGCGCTTTATTATTTCCAAGGGAAAAGGGAAAAGAGCGAAATAAAACCCTAAAATATGCAATGTAAAGTAATATTTAAAAGTAATAAAAATACAATGCGTTTTGAAAGAGATCGAGAGTTCGGGGGTTGGTTATACAATGGGAAGGTATTAGCATCCAATGCATCTGCGGTACTCCGCAGGAACCTTTTGAAATATCTGTTTTTGGTTAAAATTGTTTGTTCGATTAAAAATGATTCGTTTGGCTAAAAGATGGGTATGGACGAGATTTTTGAAGATACGACGACATAATGTCGAAGTTTTGACTTAAAAGGTGTGAGTTTGAAAATGGAGTCTTTTGGGAAAATTATCTTGAGTTTAGCAAAATAGTAAACAAGCAAAAAAATGAATGAGGCTATTCGCACGATCGGATGAGATGTGTTTGATAATATGAAGTCAACAAAGTTAAAACATTTCCCTTGGATTTAATCATAAGCAGGTAGATCTAATATTCGAGTAAGAAATCGTAAATAATTAAAATTCACGAGAAACGAACAAGGTAGATAACAAGATAAATCGTAAGAAATTAAATGAATGGACAAAGAAGAATCATGAATAAAAGAAAAGTGTAATTAAAAAATTATCTAAACTAATTTGAAATTCTAAGGTTACTAAGTAAACTAAACTTAAATTCTAAAGTGTCTAACTAAATTAAATAAAATTTTGAAGTTATTAACTAAAACTAAATTAAAACTCTAAAGTTACTAACAAAAATTCGAAAGTTATTAAATTAAATCTAAAATAAATTAACACTCTAATATTACTGAATTAGGTCTAAACTAAATTAATTCTAAAGTTGCTAAATTACATCTAAACTAGTTTAAGTATAAACTAAATTCATTATAAAATTACTAAGTTAATCTAAACTATATTAATAATAAAATTACTAACTTAAATCAAAACTAAATTAATTCTAAATTAAAGATTAAAATTCTAAGATTAAATTAAAATTCTAAAGTTATCAAAATGTATCTAGACTAATTGGAAGTTCTAAAGTTATAAAATAGATCTAAACAAATTAAAATTTTTAAGTTATCAAAATATACCTAAACTAATTAAAGGTTCTAACATTACTAATTTATATCTAATTAAATTAAAATTCTAAAGTTATTAATTATGATTCTAAATATTTTAAAGTTATAAAATACATCTAAACTAATTTAAAAAAATTCTAAATTAATACTAAACTAAATCTAAATATAAGATTTACTAATATTTTTTTATATTTTTTTCAAATGAAAGTTTATTTACATTAAAACTTTACCATCCCAAACTTAACACAATACAACATCACCCATTAATTCAATTAAAAAAAAATAGAAATTAATTAAGTGAAAAATGGTGAAAGAAGTGTTACTGAAATGGCAGCTTGCGGTGACAGGGGTACCGTGAATGGCAGTTGCTCTGTTCGGAGGGAGCTTGCGGTTTGACAATGAGGTGAAGTGTTGTTCACAATAGGTGAGGATGGTAAGCGGATGTTGGACGTTGCGGAAAACAGAGAGAAATGGAGGTGGTGAGGTCTATGAGTTATCGGTGGAAAAATATGGGCTGAGCGTTTGATACGAGGAACCAAAGGGGAGGATGGTGTGCGATTCAAACGGAGGGATGGCCGGCTGGATCTAAGCGGAGAGCCGTGTAGGGTCGTGGCGGAGCAGTGCGTTGTGAGCGCGACATGGAGATGGAGCTGTCAGATGCGGTAGTGGACGGTTAACCGTGGGATTCATCGGCGTGGGTTGCATGGAAGGGTATGTTGTGCTGGTGAGAAGATGATTGAGCGAACTGTTTTGCGGCGGCGGTGACGTGGTCGAGACGGTGCTTTCGCAGATATGAGCTCCTTCTTCTTCTGTTTCTGCACAATCAAAACAAAACAAAACCTTTTTACCAATATTTATTAGTTCTTTTGGGCAAGAGTATATGAATTGATTATGCAAAATGTTGTTATTATTTGGTTATTGAGCAGAAGATGGTGTGGGTTGATATAGTGAGGTTTCGGTTAACAGTTGCGGTAGCCGGAAACGGTACAGAGGTTTAGACGGAGGGAGATGGAATGGTGGAATTGAAGGTAATTGGTGAGGAGATGAGGTACTGGAAAATTGATGCGGTATGCTGGGCGGAAGATTGAAGGAAGTATGGAAGGGTTGATGAAGGGAGCGCGGAGGAAATGCTAGCGGAAAGAGGAAGATATTATTGGGTGTGGCTAAAAGAGGAAGTAGTGTGATGGAGAGAGGGTTAGATACTGTAAGCTTGCTTTTTCTTTTTTTTTCTTTTTTTTTTCTTTCTCCTAGCATAATCCATAGTTTTTGGATTTAATATGTTGATGGTTAGCAATGCCAAAAGCAAAGAAGATTTGAGTGGAGTGTATGCACGTGAAGCCAAAACAAGTACAAAGTGGCCATTGTCCCCTGAGTGTTGCGTAAAGAGTGGTTAATATTGTTTTTGGCAATTTTGTATCGATCCTCAATTTCATCCAACAACCAATGAAAATCAAGCATAGTATATTTAATATTTTTTTGTGACTAAAAGGCCCTTTAATGACAAAAATAAAAATAAAACTTGAAAGTATAAAAAAACTCAATTTAAAATGATTTTTTTGAATATTTTATGAATAAAAAATAAAGACCCAAAAATGACCGAAAATGATAAAAAATGAACGAAAATTTATCCGAAAAAATAAAATGAACACATTAAAATAATCTACATGTCACAAAGATTAAAGAAAAAATATTCAAGAAGTCAAAAATCAAAAATAAAATAATAATAAAAATATCAGACTAAACAGACGTTTAAGGTTAAAAACGAGACTTCGAACTGTACCGAAAAAATAAAGCGAGCATACCGTCATAATCTACGCGAAACGCAGATTCATAAAATGATCGGTAAAAGGTGAAAACTTGAAATATTTTCTCGCTAATTTTCCGCACAGTGTCGAACCGCTTTTAACAGTTTGTCTATAAAACCGAAATATTTTTATTATCGACATATAAACAACTTGGAGCAATGCAAGAAAATAGTAAACAGGTAAAAATGAATGAAGTGAAATGCCGGGTATTTTACAACTGAAAGACGATGCAAACTTTGATTTAAACTGACTTTTTCTGATCAACTTAAATACGACTAATGATGCAAAATGTGATGAATGAAGATATTTACTAATGATCGTGACCAAATAACAAAATATGATATGAAAGTGCGACTAAAACATATTAGGGGCGAAATTAAGGGTGCAACGGTTGTGCCTTGATGAATCAGTCTTCGAGAATCCACAATCAACCGTACTTCGGGCCTGGGGGACTCAAAACCTTAATTGAGGCGCGACACCTGATGCTCTTGATTCAGACCTGTCTCTGCACATGAAGCAAAAGAAAACATGAACATACACCTTTGTATGCGATTAGAAATTAGTGATACATAGGCTAAAAATGTTCAAAACACTTGACAATCTTCACATAGTCAAAGCTCGAAGGTGAGACATTAAAACCGACCGTATTTCGTGACCTTGACTTATCTTTAAAATGCAAAAATAAAAATGGGATCTTAGGTCAAAAATTGGGGTACAACACCACCCTTCAGAAAAGAAGAAAATACAGATAAAAGGATAAGAATTCAACTTCCCTATCAAGCAAAAGTCGACATCAAGGTAAAATCCCTATCCCTTCTCTGTATTTATCTTGAAATTTTGTCCTCTACATATATTTTGTCTTTGTTAAATGGTCAAATAAAGAACAAATCGGGAAAAAATCATCAAAACAGTAACAGAACAAGAACGAAAAACCTGCAGAAAACATAACCTTTGTTCAAACTCAGAACTAGCATCACCATCACCCAAAAAACCAGCAGAAAACATAACCATTGTTCAAACTCAGAAAACCATCATCACTTATCAAACCAACAAACCTGTAAAAAATCATCAAACCAGAAAACCATCATCACTCATCAAAAGAACAAATCTGAAAAAAATCATCAAAACAGTAACAGAACAAGAACGAAAAACCTGCAGAAAACATAACCTTTGTTCAAACTCAGAACTAGCATCACCATCACCCAAAAAAACCAGTAGAAAATATAACAAACCAGAAAAGCCGACGAAGCTGAAAACCATTACAAACCCATTTCGCCTTTCAATTCCGTCAAATAGCAACCCACTATAACAACATCCTTGCCACGTCTCACATCTCCCCCCGCCTCACTCGATCACCATCCCAACCTTCACCACCTATCTTCAAAATCGACAACATGCAGAATCAAAGAGTGGAAAACGCGTTGGATTAGGGCCAAGTTCGGAGAGAGGGAGAGCGGTGGAGCAGAGCGAGGAAGAGAGTTTCATTTTTTAGCGTAAGGACAAAAAGCAAAATTAGAAGAAAAAGGTGGCCTCTGAAGAGAGCAAGGAAAAGAGTTTCTTTTTTTTAGCGTAAGGACAAAAAGCAGAAGAGGAAGACGAAGATGGATCAGTTTATGGAGAGAGAGAGAGAGATTTATGTTCGTTTTTGTTTTCTTTCACGATATCAATAATTCATAATAATAATTAAATGAAAAAATTGATCTTCCCAATAACAATAGCTGGCGGCGGCACGTTTCTTTGTGTTTAGGGTTACAAAACCCTTCACTTCCTCTTCCAGCCGAGTCAACTTTTGGGCTTTATGGCCCAATCCAATATCTACTACCATTTTCCCTTTTTGTTCTAATAAAACCATAATTATTATGAATAAGCAGTGTAGTTCAGTTGGTAAAGTGTATCTTGGATAACCCAAATGGCCTGAGTTCGATTCCTCCAGTGGGAATTTTTATTCTTATTTCTTTCAACTAACCTTAAAAAACATACATTCTTTTTTATACATAATTGATTGATCTAAACTCTGTGATTATTTTTTATCAACTTCTTTTTTTTTTTTTAAATAAAATTTGTTGTAGATAAAATTATTAAGTAATTTACATATAACAAAACACTAAGTAGAATTTAATTTAATCCTTCTTTAGATTTTATTTAAGTAAGTAAAAATACAAAAAAAATAATACATACGATTTAATTTCTTTTAGTCAATTATTTTATTTTATTTTTAGAATAGATTTCACTTTCCTATTTTCAAGTAAAATACTTAAAATTTTATTTCCATATTTTTTTGGTTAATTTTATTTCGTAGATTATTGTAGCTTTAATTAATCGCTCAAAATTCGATTTGGTTGTATTATTTGCTATTTGGACCTTTTTATCGCATTTGACTCATCCCCATTTGTAAAAATTGTACCCCCATTCCCGAACGCTTTGTAATAGCGTAGAATTTCAATTCTCGCAATTTACGGTTTCCTTATATTGTATAGTAATTAGGCGTGTATGGAAAGATTCAAAAATCAATCGCTAGATAACCTAATCAAAGAACAAAATAACTTGAAACAAACACACTTTTTCACACACGCACCTCTAGGGTAACCTCGCTCGTTGCCTCAGAAATATAGTCATGTCCCTCGAATATGGGATGCTTTAGCAATGACCCTTCGATAAAAAAGATCGTAGTCCCTCGATGACCCTCGACGTTGCCTTTGATAAAACGATCTCGTCCCTTGCGAAAATTGCTAAAGCGTCTCATAAGTCGCTTTCGATGACTGTAAAATAGACCCGCGCCTGTCCCTTCACATCCAACTATGGGGCTTCTTACCAAATTAATGGTAAGATAGCAACATTAAAAGGAGGAAGAAAAGAACAATTGAAAACCTTTCGAGTAGATAGATTCGCTCCTAGTTACTCGTTTTCTCACGATAAAAACATTTTTACACCTACACTTTCATTTCAAAACATTTTCAAAAAGACAAAACATTTTGTATACGTTCTTATAGAGACGAGAACCTTTGCAAAACATCTTTTCAAAACACTTTCCAAAACACAATCCACAAACACATCTTTGAACCACTTTTCGAAAACAAAACTTCGTACACATTCTTATAGAAACGAGAACCATTACAAAGAGATTTTTCAAAACAATTTCAAAGCCCACACCACAAGCACACTGTCAAATAAATGCAAGTGATCTAAACGAGTAACTAAGAGCCCATGGAAAACCATGGATGAAAAGGGTGCTAATACCTTCCCTTTTCACAATCTACCCCCCGAACCTGAGAAATAATCTCGAAAGGTCTTTCCTGTGCTTTTTTACCTTTCCTTTTGGATAAAAGAAAAGTCGATGGCGACTCTTGCTATCCGCACAAATGAGATCGAAACGCAAAACGATCAAGTCAGTTCTCCCACCGTATCACACAAGGCAACATTGAAGGATCATCGAGAGACTACGATATTTTAATCGAGAGTCTTTGCTAAAACATCCCACATTTGAGGGACATGACTATTTAAATCCGAGGCAACAAGTGTGGGTTACCCTAGAGGTACATGTGTGCAAAGTGTTTTTGTTTACAAGTATTTTATCTTTTGAATTAGGGTTTTTCTAGGTTTGATTTTAGTCTTGTAATGCAAACCCTAATTACTAATAATAATAAGGAAACCGATAAATTGCGGAATTTAAATGTCATACGCTATTACAATGCTTTGGGAATGAGGGGTACAATTTTGTGAATGGGGGGAGGAAAACAATAAAGCCTAATTATATATTACAAACCATTGAATAAATAATAACGTGAAATAATAAAATGCGCGAGAATGTAAAGTAGAAAAAAAAAGAAAAGGAAATTGTTTTGATGATTTTTGATGGAAAAGGTTTTATCATTAACCTAATCAAACTAATTAGTTTTAATTACAAGAGAAGTTAATTAATTATTTAACAAAACCTAAAATCTAAGTTAATTGAAATTAAGAATAAAATAAATACCAAAGTCTAAATAATTTGTTTAGAAAATAATTTGAATGTTAATGTTAATTTGAAAAGAAAAATGTTTTATAATGTAAAAAAAGAGTAATAAAATCTAATGTAATTAAAAAATGAAATAAAGTGTTTAAATTAAAATAATTTTAATTTAATTATTAAAGAAAATATATTTTTTTGTATTTTTTGGTTAAATAAAAATAAATAAAGAAATAAAAATAAGAAAATATGAAGAATATAAAAATATTGGGTTTGGGTGTTAAAAAGTAAAGAGGGTGTGAAAAGTAGCAAAAAGGACCAAGCGTGTTTTTTGTTTGAGTCAGAAAATAAAATAAAAAGATAAATGGGCCTGTGCTATTTTAGTAAAAGGAGGGTGTTGGGAAGAAATTAAAACAAACCCAGAATCAATGATTCGGCGCTTATGTGAGATCCAGTGTGGATGATTTCTTGGAGTGCACCATGGGGTTGCATTTGAATGTGTGGGATTCAGTCATGTAATGGTCATGTGGTGATGGTGAGAGGAATACCATGTGCATCCTCAACCTGCTTACATTGAATCTGAAATAACAAATTATGTGAAAAATAAAAGGGTACCACTGGGGCTCAAACCAAGGTCCATATACACAAATGCCTTAGCGCGCACTTCTCTGTCACTAGAGTGGCTGTTTCATCCATTTATAATACAATTTTAACTAAATATAAAATAAACTCGTTTCTGAATTTTGAACTTCATCTTCTTCCTCCTTCGCGCGCGTAGAACAAAAGCTTCATTGCTCAAAACTGTAACTTCTTTATTTCCCAACCATTTTCAAAAATGTAAACATGAAAGTTGCTCCAAATTTCATCACAAATTCAACCATGTAATTAACTTAAACTATAAATCAAAGACGAGCATGAATTTTGTTTGGTTCCAAATTAAAACCTAATTTTTCTGAAAGTTCAACCTCAAAATTCTCCATGTACAGTTGTTGTACCCCAAAATTGTCCCTCTCATTCTTCAAATCCTTTCTCACAAGGATTTTCAAGGTTCAAGCTTGAACAAGTGCATTGGGGTTTTCCAATACCAAAATTAAAAAGAAACTGTCAAAAAGGGAGAAAACAGATAAAAATAACATTTTGACAAATTTGGAGGAAAACAGGTCTCCTTCGATTCAGTACCCTTCGATTGACTCTTGGCCTCCTTGGAATGCGCATTCATATTATTTCATGTATTCGTCATGCATTTCATATATTCGTCACCCTACATCTGTCTTATTCATGGGGTACACAAAAATAAAATCGAGATCTCGGTGATTGTCTTTAAAAAAATGGATACCGAAGGAAACAACTTGTATGCATCAACACGCCAAACATGCCTGAAATCAAGGCCACAAAAGGGAAGTAACGTGCTGAAGATTTTCCAAAATTTTGTCCAGCAACAATGGATGGTTTCAAGAGCAGATATCTGCAGGCGCGCCTAGAAGACTTATTTCCTTTTTTCCTGATTTCATGCAAATAAAGTTTTGGCTTAAGATTGTAATATTTTTCAATATCTCAATTACGTTACTTTCAATAAAGGCGTTTTGTTTCCACACACCGTTTGTGTATCTATTTTTTAAGATAGTCGCCAAGTAAAATAATAAAGGACAAGCATATACCCAAAGGAATAAGGCATTCACATTCATTCGCACTCCTGCATTCACGAACACCTGCATGTCATGTAAAAACTCGTTGTTCCACAAACATCTCTCCAGCTGAACCATTGGTAGAAGAAGATGACCACCTCCTTGGCCTCCATATCAAACAAGGGCTTATCAATAAAAAGCAATGGAGAAAACCGAGGAAACTCAGACTACGTTCAAAGAAGATCTCGACCAAGTAAAGGGAGACGTAAGTTCAACGTAAGAGGAGATTTGAGTCGAGTTCTTATGGCTTTGAAGAACATTATTGACAGGCAAGACCAGATCCCCAGGGCAACTTTCGAAGAAGTAGCCTAGACTATTGGTGCATCAAGCGGTCACCAACCAAGGGAAGAGCCAGAAGTAGGACTCCAGAAGTCCGTCATGGCCCAATAAGAAGCTAAAACTGAAGGGTTTGTCCTACCACCGCCAAAGGCAGGGGCATCTCGTACCCTACAGATTTCAACCAATGATGCAGACAATTACTTGGACCGGTAATACGGATATCACGACCCGGAGGATGCCAACCAAGTGCCCTCAAAGACGACTGGTGCTCATGCTATTGATAATCCATTAGTGATGAATCAATACCAAGCCTTGGAAGAAAGATTAAAGGCTAACAATAAATGCAATCG